CCATCAGAGAATGTAAGTCTATAAAAATAAGCAAATGGCATGTGAGAACTGAAAGCGTATCTTAAATTGAATATTCATTGGGTAGATTTAACAGCAATTTGGTTATAGCAAAAGACTGGATCAGTGAGCCCTAAGAGAAATCAATAAAATTACCTAAACTGAATGAGGAAAAATACTAAGGCAAAAAGCACAGAGTACTAAAACAACATAAGGGACACATGCACTCTAACATGCCTGCACCTGGAACTCGGCTCCATGATTGAGTTCCGTCATAGGATATGACTTCAAGAGGGTTTGTGTCTCCTCAAAGATCTGTGTGTTGGAGAGCTGATCCTCAGGTGGTGGAATAGGGGACATGTGGACCTTTAAGGGTCAAGCTTAATGGGAAGCTTTGTCATTAGGGGTAAACTAATCTTACAGCTTTAGCCTCCCCAGTAGCTGGGCTATAAGACAAAGGCCCCAAACTGTTGTCATTAGCGGAGTCCCCCATCCTTTGTTCCTGGCGAGAGATGTAATCACTTGCTTGCTCTTACACATTGCTAGCAACAGCCTTCACCAGAGAGCCTGTACCATGCCACTGGACTCTAAACCTCCAAAACTGCGAGCTAGATGAGCCTGTTTCTTCACAAGTAGTCTGTAGGAAGCATTTTGGTAGAGTGAGGCAGTGCTGACTACTACACTGTCCGTGAATTGGAGAGGAGCAGGAGAACTGTTCAGGGGTAGTGTTTGGAGACTTGGTGCTTCAGAGGCCCTAAAAACTGAGAGGAAAGGGCTGTGAGAGAGCTCAGTGGACTAAGCACCTGCTTTGGCAAGCGCAGGGACCAGGATTCAATCCCTGGTCCTGTATGTGGGCCAGCCCTGCCCCTGGGGCATGTTGAGCCAGCAACTGAGTCCAAGTGTGGTGGCCCACGCCTGTAATCCCAGCGCTGGGGAGGCTGAAAACAGGAGGATCACTACAACCCTGTACCAAATATATAAAATGAAAAAAAAAGAAAAATAGTCAAACAGCTCAGTGAACTCCAAGTAGGATGAATATTTTAAAAATTAATCTAACCATATTATAGTCAAATTGTTGGTAATTGATCAATTCTTAAAAGCTGGCCAGTGTTTGGGGGAAGAGACTATGTATTAACCTTCAAAAGAGCAACAAGAATGCTGTTGCTTTGCTCAGTATAAGCATGGTTTGTGTTTGCTTCTGGGACAGTCAGAGACTTAAAAGCCATTTTTGCTACAAAGTATGGCTCTCCCCTTCAGCCTCCAGTTACCTAACAAATTCCTAAAAGCACAACAAAGTTTGACCTGTTTTTTTGTTACTATAAATTGTGGGCCAAATCTCTTCTCAGGTGTGTATACAGAGATGTGAAACAAGGTTGCTGAGCCCTAACTGTACATAATCCCCTCTCACTCGAGAGACATTGAGGACCCTGGGAGCGGGACCCCAGGGACCCTCAGCTGGACCAGAAGCCTCCCGCCATTGTCCTAAACATGCGATGTCCTGGATTTCACAAAAGGCAAAGCCCCAGGTGACAGAGACAAGAGTTCCCTGGGAATGCAGCCATTCCCCAGCCACAAAGATTCCAGAACTACAGGACTGAGACAAGGATCACCAGAAGCCCAGCCCCCCAACAGCTCCTTAAAAGCTGGCCTCCTGCCTTGACCACTGGGCCAGTGTGAACCCCTGTATCAGTGCGCTGCCTCCTAGCTCACCTCTACCTTTCCAATTAAACCCTTTCCCTGTTTTTTATGAAAAGAACAATAAAACTAGCAGTGGGCATTTAACAGAACTCATGAAAGCCAACATACCATGGAACGACATCTTTAAAATGCTAAAAATAAAATGCCAACCTAGAATTCTGTCCAGTGAAAATATCCATTGGAAATGTCTAAAAAACAAAACTAAAAAGAGCTCATGATGCTAATACTTACAATACATGTCCCTTGGTGGTGAATTCCCCTAGTTTTCATATGCCTAAAATATCTTCACTTGCCTAAATCAACCCTCCAACAAAATGCCGTGACTCTGGCCTGAGGAGGGCTAGCCCGAGCAGAGACGCCGTACAAAACCCAGGAAGCCCGTGTGCAGGTTGTCGTGGACTCCACACTTGTTCTCGAGAGCCTGTTGTACACTTATTCATCTGAGTCTCACAAGCCCTTCCACTGTCACCAAGTGTGCGGGGCTTCGGACTTCCTGAATTGCCACCTCACCCAAATTGCTCTGAAAGGGAGATGCGGCCATCAGGAAAAAAGAAATCCAGCAGTATTTCCTTAGCCTGTTGATGGTATTCCGGAGAACTGTGTGAGGCAGACGTGGTGACCACTACACTACGGGAACAGCCTCTTGAGTACTGTGGCTGGCTGCAACCGTCATCAGGTGGCAATCGCCCTGCTTCAGGAACTCTCCCCTCAGCTTAATAAGATGGTCCTCTCCTGCCCCTCCTTTATTCATGCAGCATTCATTGCCTGAATGTGTCAGCTGTGCTGAGTACATATAAGTGAAACACTGTCTCACCATGTCTTTGGCCCACTGTCTCTCTAGTCCATAATCTAGTGAGACAAAACGGAAAGCAGAAGGTAGAGGCTGAGGAAAGATTTGGAGTAATGTGACTAAAATGGACAGTGTGCTTCAGGAAAGTCTGATAGAAAACCCAGCGAGTGTACGATAGCAGAGCTTACGAATCAAAGTTCAAAGGACCGCTTAGCACCTTCCTGGAATTCCACAAGACACCAGTGTGCAGGAGCACCCTGCACTGTGAGAAGTGGGAGTGGAGAAATGAGGGAGCAAGGTCTACAGTCATCAGAGATTTGTAGGTCATATCCAGAAAGTTATGTAATGGAGTAGGGGGTGGTGGCGTCTGCCTGTAATCCCAATACCTTCATTGGTTTTTTTTTTGGGGGGGAGGGTACCAAAGATCGAGCTCACGACCTTGCGCTTGCCAGGCAGTTGCTTATGCCGCTGGACTATCTCCTCAGCAATCTCAACACTTCGGAAGCTGAAGCAAACTCGAGGTCAGCCTGGCCACGTGGCAAGTTTGGGGCCAGCCTGAACTACATAATGTGACTCTGACACCCCAAATAAAAGGAGAAATGATTCTATTTCAGAAAGGTAAATGCTGGAGTTCTAGACCCACGATGCCTCCGCGCTTCTGTGTGATCGCAGATGGGTTATTTCACCTCTCCGTGCTGGCTTCACTTGTAAAACGGGACTAACATAGCACCTACCCTAGAGCTGTTGGATGCGTCGACGGACAAGCCATGGGAGGCACGCAAGGACGGTCACACTGCACTCAGGACTCCCGCGCCTCCCCGCAGCCCAAGGCGCGCTCGGCCTGGCTCTGGCTGCTGTCTTCTCTAAAGACAGGAGTGGCAGCGACTACAAGCCAGTCACACGGGACTGCTTGCTCTGAGTTCCCTTGTCACTCCGCGCCGCAGAAACCTAACAGTCGGAAGCGCTGGTCAGTAGTCCCTTTCGCTTCCATCTGCAACGTTAAGGTTTTGGCTTTGATTCACTTGATAATAGTAACTATATGTGTTCCTAGTAATTGAACTCAGTTTCTATTAAATTCTAATCTTTTGTCCTTCAGGTATAGTTTCTACACTTGATCTCAAAAGGGCAATATTTGAAGTTTCTTAGCGAGCTGTTGATAGAAAATGAGAAGGAAATCCCTCTGAGTAACCAAAATAGTTTCAAAAGATAGGAAGGCAAGCAGGACTGTTGTAGTTTGGCTGCCCTAAAATGTCCTAGGGGCTCATGCGTCCCGAGGTGGCGCCTTTGGAAGACAGACGTGAGGATTAAATCACTGCATCAATCCTCTGATAGGTTTAACTGATGGGTTTTGGGAAGTGATAAACTTAGGAACCTGGGTCTCAGTGGAGGGAGCTCGTGGGGGCGTGACCCGAGGGCGTGCACCTTGTCCTTGTCCCTGCAGCCTTCCCCACCCCCCAACCCCCACCTTCCCTGCTTCCTGGCTTCCAAGAGAAACTTCCCTCAGCGCATCCTTCTGCTGTGCTCCTGCCCCACCTCAGGTCTGAAGGTGATGAAGCCAGCTCACCCTGGACTCAAATGCTGATACGGAGCAGGTAAAACTTTCCTTAAGTGAATTTATCTCAATCATTTTTTCACAGGGACGGGAAACAGAGATCGGTGAAGAATATCTACAGCCTGGCATGGTGGTGCGTGCTGCTACTTGGGAATCTGGGGCAGAAGGATTATGAGTTTGAGGTCAGCCTCGGTGACTTCATGAGACTCTGTTAAAGATGGATAGACAGAGGAAGGAAGGAAGGAAGGAAGGAAGGAAGGAAGGAAGGAAGGAAAGAAAGAAAAATCATCTATGCATTCATTAATTATGTCAAGGCTACTAAATTTACTAATACAATTGTAGGTACAGAAAAGGTTCAAAAGTGGCTTCCAAGCTCTGGTCTGAGGAAAATGGTGCAAGCCAAGGCTGCCGGCAGCGTTCGCCCTCTTACCTGCCCTCTGGTGCTGATTTCTGTTTTTTGAATGTCACTAAAATAGTGGCCCCTAGTAATGCTGCACTGAGTTTCTGATTTTGATTATCAAATGTTAAATAACTGACCTATGAGGTTTTTCTTTTTCATGGAAGTTTAGTTATTGTTTCTGGAGCTCATTTTCATATATATATATATATATATATATATATGTATATGTATTTTGTGCAGGGTTTCACTATACAGCTCAGACTCGGAGTGAGCCTCCTGTTTTCAAGCTAGGGTCACAGGCATGCGCCACCACACCTGAACTTGGGGCACCAGCTCAGTGCATGCACAGGCAGGACCACCACGGCATGTGGTGCCGGGGACTGAATGGCAGTCCCTGCACTTGCCTAAGCAGGCATTTTCACTTTTAAGTCAAAACGGTTTCCCAATGTTGGAGGGTGGGGCTGCACAGGGAACCGCACGCCAGGTGACAGATACTAGACACAGGCCTTACCCCAAGGCACACAGGGATAAGCGAAAAACGGATGATACCAAAGTATTTATTGTAAATGTAGTGGCAAATATACTGAGAGTAATCATTAAAAAGGAACTAGAAAATCACACATGTTCAAATATGTGCTTCTTTCCTGCCACCTCTTAGGTTCCGGCTAGTACCAGCATTTTAGGTAAGAAAACTCTCTGATGGTCCACGTCCACATATTTTCACGATTGTATTTTCAGCTGAATTTTAAAGCAGGTGATCATAGATTTCAGTATCAATTGCTGTTCTCCATCTTTATCAATTCTGTAATGATCTGGAGAATCTTGTCATCTGAGTGAAAGAAAATAAAGCCATGAATAATACAGCACTGATTCGTTTTCTTTTCTTTTTTTATAAACATTGCATTTTTAAAAAATTTTATTTATTTGTGTGTGTGTGTGTGTGTGTGTGTGTGTGTGTGTGGCCAGCTCAACCCACCAGGGGGCGGGGCTGGCTGGCATGTGGTGCTGGGGGATCGAACCGTGGTCCCTGTGATTTGCTAAGCTAGTTCCAAGTAGGTGCCTTAGACCACTGAGCCATCTCACCAGCCCCAGTGATTCGTTTTCTAATGTATACACATGCAAACAAGAAATATACTTCATTAAGATTTTCTTAAAGTATTAACACCAGCAATATTCACTTTAGATGCCTATAAAACATTAATTTTTGCCCTAAAATATTATATTAATTATTGTTACACCTATTTTAATAGCATTAACATTTTGGGGAAAAAAAGTCAGCATTGATGTATAAATGGGCTAAGGCCCAAAGCGTTTATGGGATACAAAGTGTTACTTGCTTACGAGGAATCACTTGGAGGCTCTCCTGCGTCCTGCTGGTCTTCGGAGCATGGCAGGATTTCCACAGAACAGGCAAGGAACAACTGTATCAGTTTTTGCACACTCAATCCAAAGAGAGCAAAGCACTCTAACAGGGAGATTGGAGTGTCAATGTCAGAGTTCTGGTGTCCTGGGGGAGGTGTCAATGGGGGAAGGAATGGACCCTTCTGCACAACAAAGGGCTCTAAGGTCAACTGACTTCACAAACAGAGCGCGTGTGAGGCTGTATGTGCCAACGTGCTGTCCTTAACAGCCACTTCCACACAGCTGCTCCAAAACCACGACTTCCTAAAATCCTCACAATCACTTTTTCAGGAAGCTGTCATTACCTGGGCTACAACACTGAATTACGACACTTGTAGTGGTTTCAGTGCTGTTGGTTTGCAATGGGCATTTGGACAACCAAGTTGGGACCACTGGCTTTGCGGGCTACAGTATAATTTTAAAAAGGAAAGGAAAAAAAGATAGGAAAGGGGGAACAGAGATCACTTGTGAGAAGTGGAACAATGTCATTCCAAAAAAAAAAAAAAAAAAAATCATGCTTTTTAATCTGAGGAAGACAGTGAAAAAAAGCCTAACAGCAAAGTGCAGTTACTTCTCAAAGCTCAGAGAGGCAATCACAATATTCTTTATATGGTAAGTCCAGAGACAGAGGAAACTAATGTATTTTATCTTCCTTCCCAAGTCCAAAGCAACTTTTGCTTTCTCTTTTATGGGAAAAAGAAACACTGAAATAATTTTAAAATTCATGTAAAAGTTAACAAATTCATTTGAAAGATAAGGTTCAACCTGTCCTTCATATAATACAATTCTAAAGGCTGAAGTTGTAATGCACGAAGCTCCCTAACAAGCTCGGAACCCTTAATTGGGATTTGGCTGAGACCTGATCTAAGTTTCTTGTGACATAAGGAAATCAACACAGCTCAACGTTATGCATTCAAAATTAGTTATGTAAACCGACACAGAGTGCGTCTTTGGGGCAGGACCACTTCCCAACTTGCCTGGTGGTGAGAATTAACTGAGGAGGAAGTTAGGCTATATTTGTCACATACAGTCATGAGGAACTCACTGATCAATTGTCAACATCCTTAAAAGCAGAAAAAACAAACTGAAGTCTTCAGGATGTGAGCCATGGGGTGAATACAGTGCTAATTAGAACTGTTTTCCTAAAACTTGATTTTAGTCAAGCCTGTAGGTTTAAGTGACTACCGTAGCAGCTTGTAGGAATTTCAGGAGCTACAAACTCATTCAATCAATGTCTACAGATGCAACCAACCAAATTCTACACGTGTGAAATTCCACCAGAAAAACCACCCCTTCAAAACTAATAAACTATTTAAAAAGGGGGATGGCAGTAGAGGGAAAGTGCTACTGAACAAAAAGCTGATAACCATAATCTGTCCATAGGCTCCACCTATAGACAAGATCAATAGGCTTTGGATCTTATTTTTTCAACTGTCTGAATGATTTTGTGGATTTGGCATGTAGGGAAAACTATCGCAGGCTAATTGGAAACTCAGGTGTCTACTTTAGATTTCTCCAGGGAAACGCAGTGGAGAAAACCTGCTGTGATAAGCCTCATAGAAAGTGGCCAATTTAAAAAAAATGATTACATTACTAAAAGGAATGAGTTTCAAAGGATGGTACTAATAGTTAGCAAAGTTGAGGCTCAGTTTTGAGTTGCTGTTTTTTGGAGACAGGGTCTTGCTATGTAGACAGGCTGGTCTCAAACATACAGCGACCTTCCTGCCTCAGCCTCTGGAGTGTGGGGATGACGGGCATGTGCCACCACTAGGTCATGCTCATGTTTTATCATCCCTTTTCTGTGCAGTGGCTAGGAGTGTAGAAGAGAAATTCAGAAGAGACAGTAGTAAACTAAAATCATCCTAAGAGAATACTTACTTTGTTTTTTTAAAATTTGTTTTCACAGCCAGAAGACTTCATTTATTTATTTTTTGTGGAACTGGGGATTGAACTCAGGCCCTTGCACTTACCAGGGAAGCGCTTACTCCACTGAGCTATCTCCCCAGCCCTGAGAATACTTACCTTGTGACTCCTGTAATCACCTATTGCCTGAGATTGATGGAATTTGGCCTAAAATACTGTACTAAATTTTAGAATCCCTTTTATTTTGTCTCTTTGACTGCGTGTCTGTGTGTTTACCTACTTACCTAATCTTTTGACAGGTCCTTGCTAAGTTGCCTATGCTGGCCTTGAACTCGGGAAATCCTCCTAATTCAGCCCCCCAAGTAGCTGGAATTACAGCTACGTGCCACTGTTCTTCACAAAATAATTTTTAATCATATATAATTTAGGAGTTCAGAGTGCCACTGTGCACTTCATATTAAATAACTTCTAAAATCTTAAAAGACTCTCTTAGAAAGGTTTTCTATGCACTGATGTACGTATGGATGTATACAAACATACAAAGTATATGTACGTATATACATTCCCAACTATGTAATAGTCCTTCGCTATTTCACGATTCAACTTTCACAGACTTACTGTTTTGAGGGTTTTCAAAGAATATTAATCTAAATTATTTATTGCAGATTTTTTGCTCTATTGCAGGATTCTGCAGTACCATACAGCATTCACATGTTAAAATTACATAGGTTTAAGAGTTTAGAAAATAGTTAAGAACATTAGAAGTGTTTTTAAAAGTGTGAGAAAGGTTTATAAGAGTGTGGGAACGGTTTATAAAGCCTTAATATATACAAATACTACAGTAAAGATAATGTCACCACTTCACTGATTTTCACTTACTGCGGGGGTGTCTGGAATGTAACCTCTGTGACAAGCGACGGACTGCTGTATTACAATTAAATACTTACTTTCAAGGGACATCTTTGGATTTTCAAGCTTTTTTCTTAAAACAGAATTGATGAGGACTCTTAGCTGCTTGAAAATGACAGCTATCTTTACAGGGGCCTGTGGAAAGGAGCCGGTGAGACAGAGAAAGTAACCCAGGGAAATAGGAATGTGTTTATTTTATTTATTTATGTTTTATTTTATTTTTTTATTAATTTTATTGAGAAATAGCAATGAGACAGTTTCAAAACCGATTAGTAGGACAGTTTCAATAATTAATACATTGCATATTGTTGTCTTCATAGTGGTTATCCATAGTATAAGATGCAGACATGATATCCTGTCCAAACCCTATTAATGCAAATCTTTCTTCTCACTGAATTAAGAGAAAGTAGCTGTATATCTATCCTAACTATTTTGTATATACAGATACAAAATGGTCCTTCATTTGTATCCCCTTTTTTTGTTTAGTTTTGTTAGATGGGTATTCCATGAATGTGTTTGAATAAATCAAGAAAAGCATGAATTTTACGTTTTACCTGCCTTAATTCATCTTGATTTTTAACATAAAATACAACAGAGTAAAATATGGGTAAATCATTCCTGGTAGCTAGGCTATACAAACTTCATGGTTTTCCTTTTAATTTGCTATCTCCAGAATAAAACAATGACTATTCCAATAACTCTGCTCTTATATAAACCTTATAGAGTCATGACTGAAGTTTTGGGGAGAAAAATTTTTTAACAGCCCTACTGAAGTATAACCTATGAACCATAAAAATGTGTGCTCATTGCTAAGGGTCTTTGTTTTTTCAGGGTCTCACTTAGTAGTGCAGACTGGCCTTGAACTCACTAGTACCCCAGGCTGACCTCGAACTCGCAGTCCTCCTGCCTCAGCCTCCCAAGTGCTAGAATTATAGGCCTATGCCCACCACGCCTGGCTTACAGGTTTCAATGACTTTAGTAAATTTCCAGAGTTGTACAGCCATTACCACAACCCAGCCATAGGACAGTTTCACCGCTCCAGATTCTCTACATAAAGCAAATACTGTAAGCTTTAAATTGCATATAAAACTCACCTTTCCAGTTCCAGACCCACACTATCATGGTACAGCGTAACAGAATGCACTATATTAGCTTACTGTAAGCTAATCAATATTGCTAGAGCTACAGAGAAAGAAGCTTATTACCAGAAATACAGTTTGGTCTAATTTATCCAAACAATGTGACAAAATTTATTAAAAGCTATGAATCTGGTCTTTGTATGTAGTAGAACAAGCAAGTGTTGGGGGTTGACAATCCGAGGTTTGAATTTTGCTCTACCAATATACAACCAATATAATCTAGGAAAGATATTTAATATCCCAATGTGCTTGAGAGATTTGATAAGAAAGGAAACCATAAAAATCATCTAACAAGGCTGTTAGGATATTACACTGGAGGGCTGGCCAAATAGTTCAACGATTAAAGCACCTGCAAGCAGGCTCAGGGGTCAGGGGGTTCGGTCCCTGGACCTGCTGTGCTGGTGCCAGTCCTGGCCCTGGGGGTGCAATTGAGACTGGGCGTGAGGGCATGCACCTGTAATCCCAGCTCTTGGGAGGCTGTAAACATGCAGATCACTACCAGTCTGACCTAGTAGTGAGATCCTGAACACCCTATATATCCTTCCCCCTGCCAAAAAAAGGATATTATATTAGATAATGCATATAAAATTGAAAACAATATAATTTTCAAATTTAATAGATTCAAAAGCATAAATATAATCAAGTCTTTTTTTTTTTTTTTTTTTTGGTGGTACCGGGGATTGAATTTGGGACCTTGAGCTTGCTAGGCAAGCGCTTATACGGCTGAGCTATCTCTCTGGC